AGCATCTAACTCACACCATCATCATCATCATCATCATCGTCATGGTCATCATCAGTCCCATCACTGGGGACTCGGCGTAGAGGAAACTACAAAGGCTTATCTATGGATTCTGGAAATGTCTTAAATATCCTACCACCAAATTTGACTTCCAGAAGAGGTAATAAAGGAATGCGGGTGTTATAATAGCCTAGTAGGGTCATTAAGCATCGTTCCCGTGCCGATACATACCAATGGATCTGTCAGTGTCTCCAGGAGCAGGCGATGCTGTCCGGTTGTTGTTACCTGCGATCCGTGCAGGTGTCAGCATCCCGCAGCCATATGGGGACTTTGCGTAAAAAGCGCCGCCTGTCTGGTTGGTTGTCTGGCTGATTGAAAGAGATCGCGTCTGCAATAGAAGTTTAACTTCACCGTCCATCCACCGCCAGCTCCAGCACCACCGCCACCCCAGCAATATCTGATCACTGGGTGTTGCATGCATCCCAGATTGAGCAAGATTATCCTTTTGAGGCGTGGGGGGGAACAAATCCGCCTGACAGGCTGAAGAAGGNTATATATATATATAAAGAAAAAAATCTTCTTCGATTCCCCCCCGAGAGATCCCCGGTGCGCACCCAGCAAGGCACCCAATATCCATACTGGGAAGAGACAGCCGCGGAGAGAGAAAGGACCCTGCTGTTGCTACTGCCATGCTGCAGCCTGGCTTTTATGAGCAAGATATTCCCAAACAGCTGGAAGGAGCTGATATATGGTGCTGCGCCCTCGTGTTGGGCCCTCCCCAAAATGGACCGGTGCAAAGTGGTAACCTGGTTATTTTCAGCGCGTCACTGGCTCCTCTCCAGTTATAGGTTCCCGTCGGGGAGCAGCAATATGGCCCCGAATGTCCAATTATTTTGCAAGAGGACTTTTAGAACATCCAAGAGCAATACACTGAGTATTGTCCAAGCATGTGTGTTTGGCTGTAACGGCACACATTCCTGCGGTGTGTTGGCTCGCCCGTCCTCATGCAGGTCTCTGCCGCGCTCAGCTGCGTCTCCGGCGGCTCCTCTGCGCCTCTCTCGAGGTGTTCCCCTCTTTTATCGATGCTTCAGGAGGCTTTAAACATCCCAGGTTCATCACACCTCTCACGTTACCTCCCTGAACCGACAACATGTTAGTGGGCTGCGACCCCTGCCGTTAGGAAAGTGCCATGACACTTCATTACATGCATGTGACACTCACAATTTTATTCACGTGAGTGTTGTCACGTAAATATGCAAGTCATGGGTTACAACAGCGTGACAGTTGAATCGTTTTGAACACTCGGTGAGTTCATCACACGGAGAAGACAGGAACAATTATATCCTGCTTATGTTATGAATGGACTTGTTTTCTATAAAAACATTATTGTAATTTTGCTATAATATTTGTTCACATTAGTCCGTTTTACATTGCTTCAGAAGTGTGAAAAGTACTCAGATATTGTACTTAAATAAAATTAGAAGTAATCAGATCTTGTACTTAAATAAAGTAGAAGTAGGCCTACTCAGATCTTGTACTTAAATAAAAGTAGAAATGCAGAGTCTAGAACAAGGGAAAGTCCTTCATTCAAAATGTTACTCAAGTTAAAGTACAATAGTGGCATCTCAATGTAATTATACATACTCATTATGCAGATTGGCCCATTTATAATATATTATATTATGTTTTGATTATAATTATTGATGAAATAATGTGTTTATCAGTGCTGGTAAAGGGGCAGCTAGTTTTAAGGACGTTATATACTGCAGGGTTGTAAATGTACTCAAGCTGTGACTAAAGTCTTCGTTAAGTGTTTTTATATTTCACAACATTAATCCAAATCTGGAAGTAACCAAAGATATATTAAATACATATAGTAGAGTAAAAGTACACAATTTATCTCTGATTTGTATTGTGGAGTAGAAGTACAAAGTAGCAAAAAGTTATACTCAAGTAAAGTAAATGTCCCTCAAAATTGTACTGAAGTACAGTACAGGAGTAAATGTAGCCTACTTAGTAACGTTACACCACTGCATTGCAATATAATATTATGTTTTGTATAGTCTTTATGGTATCATGTCATCTTGTATTGTTGTGTTTTTAACTATATTGTTATCTAACGGGATATAATGTATTTCTATCTCATTGTTTTTAGTATTTTTTATTTGCTATCATACTTTTACATGTTGCATTCTATTACAATATAATTTTGTTTCTCGGTGTCATGCTTCACTTTCAGTTGGTTACGTACGCTATCATATGGTTAATGGTTTGAGTCAGCTGCTTAATTTAGACAAGCCCACAATAATACCGGAAATTGGTTGTTGAAAGACCTGAAACTTTTGTCCTGAATTGTTTACCCGAGTTGCAGATGTAACCTTTTTTTCTGTCACACTCCTTCTTTCGTGTTCTTTTTATATGCATTTGGCCACATTTTGTTACTAAAATATCGTCTCACTGCTTGGGAAATAGATGAATCGTATTTTAAAAGGTTTGACCGGAAGCGAAGTGTTTGATTCGACGTCAAACAGCAATGTCCGACTCTGGAGGCGACCTGACAGGAACACACCCGGCTTCTCCTAAACATCGCATCGTGTCATCACTCCGGCAGCAGCAGGGCGGATCTTCTTCATCGTCTTCACCATCACATTAACATCTGACACCCGGCGGTGAGTCTCTCTCTGTAAATGAATGACATCGCATACAGGCTATACACAATCCTCGTCTTGTTATTATATGTTCTAATCTCATGTCAGATCACGTGAAACTAGTTTAGTACTGGGCCAGTAGTCAGTTTACTGGTGCAGAGATAGAGGGAGACGTATGTAAAGACCCCTTTGCGTTTAAGGCAGAAAGACTCAGTTGCTAAAGCAGATAAAGACTACACATTACAAGCAATCAATCTTGTTTGTTTTACTGTCAACATAACGCACTGACATTATAAAGAGAATTACCGCTTTCAGTGTTAAATCTATTGAATATTAGTGCAACAACTTGAAGTACATTTACTTTATAGCCTGAGAAAGTTCTAATGTATAGTTTCTCTTGGACTTAAAATCACACTGTACATTTTACATACATATATTCAGCTTAATATTTAATATTCCATCTCTCACATACTTATGTGAATATAATAACTTGCTTTATATCTTGTTAATTTGTAAATTCAACATGTATATTTTCTACTTTCTTGTTTATTTCTAGTCTTTTCATTTGTATTGCACAATGCCATGTCTTTATGCTCCTGCAACACAAAAATGTCCCAAATTGGGATCAATAAAGTACTACTATCTTATCTCTTTCTTTTATTTTATACTCAGAATACACTTTTTTAATTAAATTCACATGTGCAGATATATATAACTGTACATGTAAAATAAATCAAGTGGAATAAAAAGTGCAATACGTGCCTCTGCAATTTAGTGAAGTAGAACTTTAAAAAAGCATCAAAGAGAAACACTCACCTTGATTAAAAGTTGAATACTTCAAAAAATGTTTCTTAGAAAAAGAGTGCATTGGTGTAAAGATGGTTTGTTGATCAGAAGTTTAACTATTCACACGGTCTCTTTATTTTACTATTTTTTATAATCTTCTCGGATGGAGTCACTCAGGATCACATGGTCTGTTCATGTTTGATGTGTATTTTGGTGGATATTAGTGTGCCCACACAGTGCTCTCTCCTCACTCTCCATGCAGTGCAGTGGTGGCGGATACGGGCGCCCCTCACGATGGTTTCTCCCACCATGAAAGCGTTGGTGGATGCTGTATGGGGGATTTGGAGCATCGGGGCCTCCATTTATGACTACATTCACACCAACGCCATGGAGGAGCGCATCCACGCCCTGGAGGACATCATCACCATCCACCAGTGTGTGATTGGACTTCTGTCCACAGGCGTATTGGTACTCTTTACTTACGTCTTTTTCAAGAAGCTCTGATGATGTGTGAAGGGGTGGACTGACCAGATTCAGACATTAGGGTTCAGTGTGGTTGAGAACATTGACCAGACATGTAATGAGGGATTTTTACACATTGGGTACATCTACATGGGCACACTGTCTTTGTGTCATGTGTCCCATGATGGGAAAAAACACCTCAAAAAGTTATTCATAATCCAATTAAATAGAGAATACTTCTGTATGTGTCTAGGAAATGCCTCAACATCGTGATTCAAAACTTTTCAAAAGGGAACATTAATGAAAATAATAATTAGCCATAACTTCTGCCTCAAAGCACATTGTTTTAACTGTAACGATATTATTTGTTAAGTTTGCACTAATATTCTCAAGGACTGACGAGATAACAGGAGGAACTAGTGTCTGAGTGCAGAGCTTCTTTAATAGTGTTGAATTTAAAACTACATTGTTTATTGATATTTTACTTAACTGTCATCATAGTTCTGCTATAAACATATTTCAATAGTTAGTGACTATTATTTTTGAGTACGTTTTGTGATAACTTTTACCAAGCCTGTAAAGATATTTCATTTGTCTGAGATTGTCCAATGAAAGAAATTGCATCCTAAAATCCCTTTGCGATACAATTGTATGTATTATCTACACTATTAGACTCTAAATCCTACATTTGTCATGTTATACCTCCTAGCTTAAACATTACTGAGGGTGCCTCTGCAGGGATATGCGACAATTTGAAGTGTCCTTAAAAAGTAGTTATAAATATATATTTATGGACAGTTCTTGTAGCTGGCCATTGAATTATTGTATAGACGTGATGGATGTCTCAAAGTGCTACTGCTTGTATTTGTTTTTTCGGGTTGGAGTTTGAAATATATTCTTGGTACCGACTGCACCTACTGGTTACATTTGTGAATTCAAGAAGATAAAGGATGTTTTGTCATAGTAACTTAATTAACCAACTATTCCTGTCAAGATAACTATTTGAAGAAGTGGTGGGTCATTAAAAACTACTGCTGTGTGAATCCAGAGTTTAGAGAAAGTGTGTTTATCTGTGTACATGTGTAATGTCTCAGAGGGACCAGGACATATTGAAAGACTGTTTTAATATCATAACAGCATCAAAGTTGGCTTCACAACATTTCAAATAAATGTGGAACTCTATAAAAATGGACATCCTTACCATATTACATGCTACCAACATCAGTATGGTATCAAATGTGGTAACAAACTGTCGTAAATGGAAAGTTTTAAATTACAGCTGCAAAATACAACTGCCCTTTCAAGAACATGTTACCCAACAATGCTGGAACAATTGAAGAATATTCAACAGGCCTGAAGGCAATGAAACAACTCATAGATGGTCATAGCACCAACCATGACCCTGCTGATAAACTTCTACACAATTGTTGAACACTGGCTGTTGCTATGGGAACTTACGACACTACTTGGACCTTTTTAGTTGACTCATAAGTGTCCAGTCTGCATCAGAGTAAACCTGCAGGTGAACCTCTCCACGCTCTCCCCCTCCAGGAACTTCATGGCTCTCCAGTGGATCTTGCCACTGTTCTCTGGCTGACCAAAGGTTCCCATTTCCTCCTGGATGTACTGCAGCCACAGATCTTCAGAGAAATAAAAACAACAAAACATTTTAAGGAAAGATAGTGCCAGGAAAATAAAACAATCTGATACCCAACAAGGCTTTTTTCATTTATCCCAATTAAAAAGGTTTCCTTTGGAATTGAAACCAGATTAAAAGTGTGTTTGGGATCCAGCCACAGATACATTTCAAGTCTAAGATGGTATTTTAAATGTATTTTGTGAACAGATGTCAGCTACAGTGGAGGAAATAAGCATTTGATCCCTTGCAGATGTTGTAACTTTGCCCACTTACAAAGAAATGAACAGTATCATTTTAATGGTAGATTTATTTTAACAGTGAGAGTAAGAATATCAAAAAGAAAATCCAGAAATTGACATATATATAAGGGATCAAATACTTATTTCCTCCACTCTATATCTGGTCATATAACTAATACTGTATTTGGCATTGACACACGTCTTGTTATATTTTAGTCCTCTATACTTGATTACCAGGATTTTGTGAATAAATATTTTAAACAAACGTTACTCTTCCTTTTGTCTCTAGTTACTTTGAGGAATTTAAACTCTGCTCACCATCATCTGAGGTACCAAACTCCTGCAGGGCCCTCTCAAAGTAGTCCCTCAGAAAGTTCATCTTTGGAGTTTCCTGGAACAACAAACAACGTTTACAGCTCAGGATTGTCTAAGTTTATTGGTAGTACAAATTATATCAAGTTCACCAAATAACTGTCCCCACAATTTCTTGGTTTTTGTTCAAAGTCTTCCGCAAGATCTGTAACAATTTGTAAATCGAACTTCCGCTTATTGTCACATGATCTGTTCTCCACCTCAGACCTAAAGATTGAGGTGCAGGTTATGCAGGAGATTTTACACGTTACAAAAAGTAATTTCTATACTCACTTGTTCCTTCTCAATATTAATCATTGTGGTGAAAAAGGCCTTGGACAGGGGACGATTTTCCTGTAAGCTACAGAAGAAAATAAAACATTTCTTAATTTAAAATGTACAGCTTTGTTACAGGAAACACTCCAGACTTTATTTTGTATTCACACCAGTGTTTTGGGACTGATTAAATTCCCTTTCCTGTTATTCATCATTTAAATTAAACAGCAGCAGACAAAGTGAAATGTTTTTACCTTGTAAAGGCCTTCCTTGCTTTCTTGTAGCCTCCGGTGGAGAATGACCAATCTAGGTAGCTCTCTTTCATCTCCATGGAAACAGCCGATACTGCAGACAGCTGACCTCTCTGGGAACAAACACAGAACACACTGTCTGCAAGGCATCCTCATTTCGGAGGCCAAAACACTGCAGATGTAAGGAGCTATTAATCGATTCCATTTCATCTTTTAAGTATTCACCTGCCGGTATTATCCAGAAAAGAACCTGCTTTTTCTGACCTCAGTATGTCTGTGTACAACATATTCCATAACTAACCAAAATAATGACTGCCTGCTTTTCCACCTAAGCCAAAAGCGTTGTTACAGGGCAAACAAATACCCGTAAATCTGTGCTAAGTTTACAACCTGTTAGTTAGTTATCACTGAAAAGATACATACCTGCTAATGCTGCCAAAGGAGCATTAGATATGAGGAGCAGCAGCAGTTAGTTTCAAAGAGAATCAGGTGTGTTGATATGAACTACCTTAAAGACAGCTTCTGTCTCCTCAGGACTCTGGTTGGCCACGCTCCACTGGACCTGCAGCTGCCAGAGAGGAAGACTCTCCTGTCGAGACAAAACGGAAAAGATTTAGCCATCAGTTGGTTTCTAATCAGCATACTGTCAGTGTTGCTTTCTGTAGCATTGAGCAGTGGTGTATGATATCTCCATCCTATCCTAAACTTAGAGCAAATATACCTAAACTTGCCAAGCTTAGATCAAACTAAGGCTTCAAGACTTAAGAACGGTTTCTTCCAATTATATGGAGAGAAAACTAGTCAGTAACCTAGTGTAGCATCTGAGTTACAAATCCCCTCTCTTTGTTCTCAGCTGGTTCCATGTCAACGTGCCTTTACGTCATCTATTTTTACTAAGCTCGCCTTCTCTGCTGTGAAATATGGAAACATTTTATTGTTTGACATTCTCTGAGGGTTTACACCATTTCCCACCACTTAAGGAGAGAGTTTCTCTTGAGGGAAAAGGCCTAATGAGTGTAGTAATCCTCCTCACACTGCTAGTCTTGTGAAACAGCCACCACAACAATAACCAGCTATTCTGCTTATTTCTGTAAAGGCTGAGACGAAGCATGTATATTCATAGACATACAGCATTATACATTAATGGTGTCGGTGTAACACAAAAACAAGGCAACAATTATGATTAAGCCCAAATATCTGATGTGCTGCAGGGGATTTTTTAATGATTAGTTCACGATCCCACCTAAGCTTACAATTCTAAAAAAATCTATCGTTTCGTGTGTAGGGTTAAATCGTTATCCTGCCTGTTTTCCCTCTAATTTTAGTAGTTTTCACACACCGTATCCTCACATATGGAAGGAGGCAGCTGAAGCCTATTTAATAACTTTGACATATTGAAATAGATCCTAATTGGGCCAAGGAGATGACCCACTTATACAGCAGTGGTGTGTGTGTGTGTGTGTGTGTGTGTGTGTGTGTGTGTGTGTGTGTGTGTGTGTGTGTGTGTGTGTGTGTGTGTGTGTGTGTGTGTGTGTGTGTGTGTGTGTGTGTGTGTGTGTGTGTGTGTGTGTGTGTGTGTGTGTGTGTGTGTGTGTTTAATGTAAGCAAACAACATGACTAAACTGGATGTAATAGAGGAAATATTATGTAGAGTAAAAGTGTGTGTGTTTTGTGTACCTTGGGATTGGTGTGTGTGAGAGCCTCCTGGAATAGCCTGCCCACATCTCCACTCCCCAGTTGCATGAGCGTCCGCAGACTCAGGCTCCACACTGACACTGATTTGCTGTAGCGCTGCGTGGCAGCCATGGCAACGCTGGCCGCTCCCTCATCATCTCCAGATGAGAGCAGGATCTTCAACTTTAAAATTGAAATAAAATAAATGTAAATCACAATTAGATCTCCGTCTCCTCTTTTTTAATTTATTATTTAAGCTTTGTATCTAAAAAGGTAAATAAATACTTAATACAGTCATTAATGAATGAATACCAATGAACTAGTCATTTGGAGTGGATACAAATTATTGGACAGTGAGAAGTTATTCTTCACTTATAGAAACAACCTTGGCTTTAACCGAAAGGCCAACATCACATTCCCTATTTACCCTGTTCTGGTCCTCTTGCCAGGCACACCTGAACCCTTTGTACTTTGACTGAAACCGACCATCATTCAAAACAATTATTGGCCTCCGGATATGCTTAAATAGCACTGTTCTCACAACGCCAATCAAGCTACACTAATGCTTTTTGTCAACAGACATTTGATCAGACAGTGTTCCAATGAAGGGAGACTGTAAATCCATTAACCTGTTAACCCCAAGGTCCCCGCCAGCGGGTACTTTTTTTTTTCATGACACTGTGTCTCAGGGGATCTTAATATTTAAGAACCTATTAATGTGTTATACCAGATTAACGGGAATAATCTCAGCTAACTGACGATACAAACAATTTTTACCAAAACAAGTCTCATAAGAAGCATCTAAATGACCCCTGAGCGAAAAATGCTAACCTATTACTGCACCGATAATCACTCCTAGCTCCCTTATTACTAGAGATGTCCCGATCCGATCACGTGATCGGGGATCGGAGCCGATCACGTGATTTTCAAAAGATCGGAATCGGGAGAAAAAAATACTTTAACATTTTTTTTTTATTCAATATTAAAAAACAAAAATGACCATGTTCAAGTCTTAAAGTCATCCTGAGGCCTTAGTTTTGGTTTCAAATTACACAACATCATGTATGTGTTGCTTCTTTGGGGCTTGTTTTCATAGACCTGGTTGCCTATTTCTCTCAAATCCGGCAACAGGGTGGGCCGGGGCGCAGTGTCTAATTGTAGCAGTAAGCTAACGAGTACTGATAAGCTTTATTTTGTTTGACGGCGTACCGAATACTAAGCCGTCTCCCCCTCTTTATAGGCGTTCGTTATAGGTCCCAATAGCGTGCCAACCGAACCCTTGTAGGAACCTTTTACGGAACCTTTAAACTACACCACAAAAAGTTCCAACGCCCTACCACGAACTTTAACATCTATTCACGAACTTTTTACATTTACAATGAAAATGTTATGTAAAGACAGGACTGACCTTATCCAAAACGGAAAAATCTAAATTTTCTTTTATTAACGAAAGCGAAAAGTATTTTTCCGAGGCGAGTCCGAAGGCCCGATACGCGCCCCTGGGATGTTCACAAGAAACACAAACTGCACACTGGGCCCGGTAAGACTACTTCTCCACTATACTACTTGTCACACGTCCGCAACGTTCAAAGGTTGCTCGCAACCCGGATCGTCTTCTGTTTTATGTGTTCGGTACCGATGTCTGCTCCCAGTTCGGTGTGCTCATCGGTAGAGTGACGTTCAAACGTTGTTTTATTGCTACGCTGCTCAGGACGCGACGTGCTCGGTGTACTTTCCGATGCGGCATCATCTCGTAAAATCTTAATCCGATTGGAAACCGTACAATGCAAATTAAACTCGATTGCATATGCGCTCACTTATTCGCTTGAGCTAACTCCCCTATTATTATTAACGTGCCCCTTTAGTAAAAGTTCCCCTCGCATGGATAGCAACACCTACAATAGTGTGGCGGTTAGGGCACACCCAAAAAGCTCCTACTTCGTGAGTGAACATAAGTTTGGGTCAGAGTGGCCGTAAAGCAGCAATATCCAGGTGCTTTATATAGGATAACTAACTGGTGTTCGGCCTAAAACTTCGTTACATAAAGATTATTGACCATCATACAAAAGGCACGGATTGGGTTTAGCACTGGAACGGGAGATGTAGGCTTTAGTCAGTTAACTGGCTTCTGTGTAAAAAGCAAACATAATAGACCCAAGGCCCGCCTAAACTAAATAGTAGACCTTTAAAACGGGGTTTGTTCAAATTATAAGACTTTCGTTATGAAAGACAAATAAACTTTGTCTACTTTTGGTTTGACAGAAATATATATATTTAACTTCACAATATGTTCATTGGTTGATGTAAACGAAATTACGGGTAGCATAACCTTACTGTGCAGGAAGGGGAAACTCTACGATATTTCAGGTCCACAGGGAACTCATTCAAGTTTAATGTTATTTTAGTTAAGCATGTGTAAACTTTAGTAATAAAAGGTGAAAAATGGTAACACTCGATAAAAATACGTCGAGACGGCACCTAAAACCCACCGATTTAGGTCCGATTACTGACGATTGGTCTCCACCTTATCAATGGAGTCGCTTATAACATGAACTTCCATTTTTATGTTCAATTGAAGTCTAGAACATCACTTTTAATATTTCATGAGTCTAGACATGAATCATTATTTCATGGGCACATTCCTATGAGACAGTGCCCATTTTCAGGACGTAAGTTTGTACAAGGGAGTCATTTTCATCTTTTCACAGTAGGAGTTTATATCCACTTTCAATCGGCTGTCATTTTCATCAGTGAACACGTCGAACCCCTAGGTAAAGTCTTATATTCTATACTATACAAAATTTACTTAACGAGTACTTTGCCACAAAAAGAGAGTTTCGTATACCATTTCCACGTCGATCAACTTTACTGAAACTATAGATGACGTTCCCATTCGACACACTTAAAATTGAGGGTCCGACCTTGGATTTCAGACTTAAATTGTGAGCTAATCTAAAAGTTGTAGTAGTAGGTGTAGCACCTCATTGATTTCCATAATTTATTACATCCCTGCGAGTTTCATGTGTTTTGGGTAATTTGGCGAGACTGAATGCAAATGACACGGTTGGGATGTTCATAGTTTTATATAGTTTATTACATAACCTTTTCATATAAACCGACTAAACCCAAAATATTAACCGAGTCGGTCCAATTATACCCGTAGGTGTCAGGTATGCATGTCTAAAAGTGATAAAACTTTTATTAGTTTGAATCAAAAGAAAAAGAAATTAAAAAGTAGGAGGCCCCTCTTCCGGATAGTGGCTTTTGGTGTGGTGTAGAACCTAACAAAATTCGTATTTCTTGTAGATAAATTACACTCCCATCCCTTTTATTAGTTTAAACTCATACACCCATAGTATGTTATTACATTAAATGTTGTCGACGATTCTACCGAACTTTCGCGCTTTTACGGGTTGGAACGTTTTACGAACTTTTCACGAACTTAAGACTGAGAAACCTTTTCCACATTTTTTGGCGGACCTTTATTAGTTCGTAACTCTTTTCGACAAAATAACGAGGACCTAAATAGGTCTTTTGATAAAGGTTCCCCTGTTGTAAGTTGTAACCAATTGGGATACTCTAATTGATGTGCGGAGCAAAAATTAGTAAAATTACGGGTTACACTCTGGTCCAAATCTTGTCTTGGGGTTTCTGCTCCAATTCGTACAATCGGCATACACCCCGATATGATTCCGCGTTGAACCAAACACGCATCAAAAAACAACTAATTGCCAAGGCGTTCAACCATAGAAAGTCACAACTTCCACGCCGCGTGGCAATCAAGGGACACCAGAAATGCTAGTATTTGACTACACAACCGACACCGTGGGGATCGCTTATTCATTTATCATCCCTAAGGGACTAGGGGAAAAACGAAGGCTAGGGCTAAAGGGCTCAGTAAAACTTGAAACCTGTTAAACAGCTGAATGGGTGCTAGAAAGGGGGCTAGCTAGAAATAACGTTACCCGTAATGTCTCTTTTTTTTTCGTAAGCTTCACAGGCGAATTCGCAATATAATAAATTAAATTTAACCCTATAAGATTAGGTTGTACCTATATCGGAAGAAAAAAAGTGGTTCCGTCGTAAGCCTAGTCAGTCAACGACGTCCCGTAACCTAGTTTGTNATGGGATGCTGCAATGATCTGTTTGGTGTTTGGAGCCAAACACTTCAGAGACATGTTTTGTATATATCTGAGACCTATAATATATTGATGAAGAACAGTATGATAGGGGTCCTTTAATACAATAAACAGAATGAGGAAAAAAATATATCTCGCCTATCTCTTTGCCAAGTCCTGAGTAGCGCAGCGACCCTGCAGACGACACCACAGCGCAGGTCCTGTACGGGCCGAGGTCAGAGGTCAGCTGACTCATTGGCAACTGGGAGGCCCAGGGCAGAGATGAGAAGGGCTGGAGGTCAGAGGTCAACGTCTCCACCTCTACGTTTTCCTTCATTTGGCAGAGAAGTTTAGGACCGCTCAGCTTGGGCCGGCTGGACACACCGCCAGGACCGGAGAACTCCACTCCGTACTTATTCGTCGCCTGTCCGAAAAGACAAATCAAAGACCAATTAAGTGTATTATGTGGGGCTAATTACAAAGAGGATCCCTACCGCTAATGTTCAAGTGGAGTTTGTTACATTCTGACATTTGAAATTTCTCGAGAGAGCTCATTTACAGATTGAACATTAAGTGCTTTATGTCACAGGAGGAAGTGTCTGAAGTGAACTTGAACAGAACAATAATTAGAGAACCTAAAAGTAGAGATGCACCGACCTTGCATATTAAAGCCGATACTAACTCAAATAGATGAATTGTGAAAAAAGCAGGATATCAAAAATGTTGTTCAGAAACAGGTTTATTACCAGGTAGGTTGACACATACGAGAAATTTGACTTTGTTTCGTGGTGCATACATAAAACAGGGTTCTTACACCTTTTCCAAAGTCAAATTCAAGCACTTTTCAAGCATTTTCAAAGTGCATTTTCCAGCTTTTCAAGCATCTTACAGCTGTTGTAAATTACATATTTATATACACATACTCAAATGATTATTTCCCTACCTCACATTAAATCAGATGTTCTTTATGCTATAAACAACCAAATGTGTGTTTCGTGATAGCCTTCTACACGAGGATCAAAAATTAAAGAAAAGAAAACTAAGTTTAATATTTCAAAATTAGTGATCTGTACGTAGACTGGGCATCCCATATACAGGACTGTCTCAGAAAATTAGAATATTGTGATAAAGTTCTTTATTTTCTGTAATGCAATTTAAAAAAACAAAAATGTCATACATTCTGGATTCATTACAAATCAACTGAAATATTGCAAGCCTTTTATTATTTTAANTGCTGTGAAAAAAAGAAGCTATATCCATGTTGGATAGAATATCCAATTTAAATTAAAAAAATAACCTTAAGGGACAACTCGAATGCTTTTTTTTTCTCTTAATGCATTGCATAAAGATCGGATCGGGAAAGATCGGTATCGACAAATTGTCAAATTCAAATGATCGGAATCGGATCGGGAGCAAAAAAAGGTGATCGGGACATCCCTACTTATTACTTATCCTAGGTGCACATCCAACACATCGTTTATGATCGTAAAGACACAGAATCTAACGGTGCCCACCTCAACACTGAAAGATACAAACTTGCGACGTTATCAACAAAAACGTACATCAAAACAAGTGGCGCTAGGTAGCCCACAACGCTAACATGGCTTACCTTCGTCTTTGTCTGGTCTAAACTGGTCTTCAATGGCATTAAAACGATAAAAACGATGCTGTAGTTAATCCATAGGTTAATCCAATGTGAATGTGTCCCCTTTGAAATGTTCTGATAATCCATGAGCAATAAAACAGCTTTCTCATTGCTTGATATTCAGGGTTCTTACACCTTTTCCAAAGTCAAATTCAAGCACTTTTCAAGCATTTTCAAGGTGCATTTTCCAGCTTTTCAAGCATCTTACAGCTGTTGTAAATTACATATTTATATACACATACTCAAATGATTATTTCCCTACCTCACATTAAATCAGATGTTCTTTATGCTATAAACAACCAAATGTGTGTTTCGTGATAGCCTTCTACACGAGGATGAAAAATTAAAGAAAAGAAAACTAAGTTTAATATTTCAAAATTAGTGATCTGTACGTAGACTGGGCATCCCATATAACCTGGCTGAGCAAATATAAAACAATCAGCCAAATAACTTTTTAATACATTATTGATTACTATTTTTGAGGTACTTTTAGGTTGGCAGTAAACATAAGTCAGAGGTAAATGGTGTACTTTTNTATTAAACGTCAACTTCTTTACCTCTCCTCCTCATATAAGTGACTCGGGCGCGCGTCAACTCCCAGTCTAACACAATCACTGCTCTCTCCCATTCTCACGAAGCCTATCGTTGCACCCGCTAATCCTTTATTTGCTCTTCCTCTTGTCAGCTGTCTTTCAGGTGATCAAAACGAACCCTCCTCGACCCCTCTCGCCTCCCGTCTTCCTACAGGACAAGCTAACTTCTCCCTCCAGACCGTCCACCCTACGTAATCACCACCCAGTGTCTACGACCCCGGGGGTTTCTTCGGAGCGGTATCTTCCCCCTCCTGATGAAATCCTGCAAATCGGGGACTAACGCCAAAACCATTCCAGCCTCTTCCTTGTCTCATTCTGGCAAATGCATTATTTATTCAATGACGTGTTCCCAGTATAAATATGTGATTTTATAATCACGTCCTCCTGACTTGAATTGGTTTGAGGCACGAACATACCTCCAGTAGACATACATTGCTTCAAAATCGCTCCCTGTGTCGAATCAATAGAATTAATATTTCGTGACCTATACACGAAATGCCGTGAGACTGGGTTGAATTACAAGTGAGTGCTTCATCCTCTGAAAACCACACGATGGCGTTGTAACGCACATAACATAGGTACGCTCCTCTGAAATGATTTTCCCCTGCAATTATTATTATCCCTCAATCGAGTTCGCTATTCAGCTCGCTAACGTTAGCTCAAATAAACGTAACATGCAAAGTTAGCCTAATCTAAAATGCTCTACTACGGCGTACCTTTCATGTGGCTCGTCAGCGCAGACTCTCGCATCGTTATTTGTTGCAAACTTTGCAGGAGGCTACTCGTGGGCTTGACCCTCGTCTTAGCCATGGCTTGTATTTGTCTTCTGCTAGCCAACGCTCGTTGAAACTGCAACCTCCTGGCACACTGTCATCTATCACTCTCATCAGAATGCCCAGGTCACACGTAACACAAACACTTGTAGGTCCCGCGCTTAGCGCGGGAAGGCCTGAGCGGAGCTGTTTTATGAAAAAGCGAAGCAATTATTTTCTTTTAATCTAAAAAGCAAACTATTCAGTCAGACAGAAATGTATTGTAAAAGTAAAGCATTTACATTTTCAAGCACTTTATCTCAATTTCAAGCACCATTCCCAACCTTGAAAACACCACATCAAATTTCAAGCATTTTCAAGGATTTCAAGCACCCGTACGAACCCTGGATATTGCTTGCAGGATATTTCTCCCCTCTGCTGAAAGCTAGCATGCGCAGAGACGCCACCTTTTTTTTAACATGAGTGTGTGCGGGACGATTTCCCTTGGATTCTATTGGCTCTAACCGTCAGAAAGAGATGTCACATGTCAAAATCGACCAAGGGGGGCCAGAGATAGGTCAAGTCCACCCAAATGGCCCCAGAAGAGGGTTTTTTTGCTAAATCTGTCTAAAAAGGTCAAATATCACTTGTTTTGCATCAATCTTGATACAGGGTACTTATTATATGTTGTACTTTGGATTACTAAAGCTTTTAGTCTACTAACCCATCATCCAAGGTTAGTTTTCACTATAAGTACAAAATATTTTTTGGACGGACACTATAATTTACAGTTTTTTACCATGTTCAATCTGAATTTTCTTTAAAATAAAAAACATCTATATCGATTCTGACTTTTCTACATCCAACTCACAGGTTTATCATTACTTTGAGAAAACAGATTGTTAACTTAACCCTTTTAGAAGGGAAGATATGGTCCTTTGTTCTGGGAATGTCATTTTCGAGCCTGAAACCTGAAAAACAGGCTTGGGGCCTAACAGGTTAACAGATTTAATTAAGTCATTATCTTACCCAGGTGGTGTAAAACTCCTCCTTCAGCAGTGAAGAGTCGTGCGCACGCTGCAGCACTCCCAGCTGCCTCTCATTCCTCTGTTACACACAAATACATAGATGCACATCAGGATTTACCCCTTGAACAGCCACCTATAAAAATACTATATCCACTGACATCTTTCAGTGTAAACGCACTTACCTTTTCCTTCAGCTCTTGGACGTTGGTCTTCCTCTTCAGCCTCCCCCAGCAGAAGGCAACATAGCAAGTCCACATGGGCTCTAGACACGGAGCACAGCAAGGGTTTGTTATATAGACACATTGAGTTGGCAGGGTATATGCAAGCAGGGCATTAATACAGCATAGATTTCAGAAAGGCAGTTTAAGGTTGTTTGAAACTTTCAGGCTGCCTGGATAAGATTTTCTTCTTTTCTAAATAAAACCTCAATTGAAATATCCAAAGGCGATTTATATACTTGTTAAACCCCACAGGCCCCTGAAGTAATACATTGATCAAAACTATGAATCAAACCTCAATCCAACATTTGCCTTTGAAAAAATAGCCCAGTTATGTCCACTTGCTCACTGTGGATGTATGACCTACCGGTGTTGAGGCTCTTGACCCCCTCCTCATACACCTGGCAGCAGCGCTCCTCTCTGCGGTTGATATCCGAGGCGCGGCCCTTGGCGGTGTGCAGCTCCTCCCCGGCCCCCGGGGCCTCCAGCTCCCTCTTGGCCATGAAGTCCCACGTCAAGCTGTCTTCTGTGTAGTTATCCTGTAAGCTGCAATACAAGAGGAGGGGAGCAGGTACATTCATGCTTAGTGATGAAGTCCTGTGTGAGTTCATGAATGCTGTGTGGCTGAGTGAGCTGCTGCCTTACTCTTGCAGGATGAAGTCCTGGAGTTCTTTGGTGAAGTCAAAGATAGCTGCTATGTTCAGAAGTGAGATGACAAACTCTGCTTCTGTTGGACAAAAAGAGCAGTGGTTCAAAGGTTAGATGTCTCAATCTGGCCATTTCTGTTGATGAACGGAGATTGGACATTTTTAGAATAGCTTTTTTACAGCAAGTTGGATGTATAGATTGACACTACTTTCCAGTCTGTATCATCGCTGTGACGCTAGTGGTCACCGCCAGTTAGCATAGTTTAGCATAATGAGTGATGTTGGGGGAAACAATGTGTGAACAAATTAGATTGTGGTTATACAAGGGGTTATGTGTATAATCTTTGCCAAGTGAAAAAAAGTGACGTACACAAATATTTTGACAAAGCTTATGTCTAATGCATAACTTTCTTACTCAAAATATAAATATACTAAATGTTTTAAGAAAATTAAATATGAAATGTACAATTTTATGGTGGTTTTGTTCTGGAACAGAATCAGATATTATTTTAGAAAAATCCTACCTTTGATTTTCCCTGTAGCATCTCTATACACAACCTCAGCCAGTTTGCCACTCAGAATCTCTGGAGAAAACTCATATTCCCCCTGAAAGAAGTGAGAAGCAGAGTATTCAGGCAATGAAAACAGTAAGAGCTTCTGTGTGTATTACTTTATTTTTTGGTGAATTTTGAAACACTCACCAGGTCCATCTTAGCTGTCTCCAGGTCGTTCTTCTGCTTCCTCAGTTTCTCACAATGCAGCAGCTCCATACGGAAGTACTTATAAAGAAGTTGTTGGATACAATTAGAAAATAATATTTGACAAATACCCATCCCTCTTTCAACCACATCTACGGCTCCTTTCACTAAACTTTGTAGAAGTAAACTAGATAAGTAAGCTCCTCAGGTTTCATTACAGTGGAAGTGATAGTGTTGAATATAAGACGAAACAAGTATATATTTTATTGTACCTCCTGGTAGACTTTCTTGTTGTTTGGATGGAAGCGCAGAGCCCTCAGAAACAAGTGTCTGGCACTTTCTGAGGAACTTCTGTCCTCCAGCTCACTCTTGGCTGCCATGATCCACAGGGCTTAAAGAGGGAGAATTACAGTGTCACTATTAAAACACAGTTTATAGTCACTTTGTTCAAACTGTCTGAAAAGCATTATCTTCTTTACCTGGTTTGTCCGGGTGTATAGCAAGCATGGCTGAGAACACTTTGCTGATCTGGCCTTTGGTAGCCTGAAGAAAAAGCAAGTTAAAGATCATTGTTACCATGAGAAGACACTGTGTTTGGTCAGAGTTGGACTTCAATCAAATTAATAGATCATTACATACCCATTTCTTACAGAAAGCAGCATGGGAGAGCCACAGCTGCACATCACCCTGTGGAGAGAAGACTATTCGCTCAGTTATGCTTACAATAAACTGTGAGTCAAGGGACAAAGCATATTGATACTTTCTTGTAATAGATTAATGAATTGATTTCATTATTACGCACCAAAAATGTAATATGAATGTATACATTACCTTCCACTTATTTGTTGCTCTTTTAAAGACACTATTTATTCTATGGATGATTGGGAACTCGATCTCCTCTTTTTTGAACTGGTAATGTATGTGCTGCAAAAGTAAAGTTAGAGACGGTCAAGTGATGTGACATTCACTCCAATTGTTGCGCATGTATGTTAAAGTGTACCACTAGTATACAAAAAAAGTTAATATGAATATAAAAACAAAGCATTTGCCACTTACCACTCTTCTCTTCTTGACCAGCTCTAACACATTGATTTCATACTGCAATTAAACGAAATTGTTGTTATTACTTTTAACACTATCAGTCATAGCTTGAACAATGTGATCAAAAAAAACCTTATAGATGATGATTAGGGCACCCTACCTGGATGTATGCAATGAAGTCTTCTTTATTTACAATCAACCTATGCAGCTTGTATTCAAGAGCTGTGGCTCTTTTGATTATGGATCTGAAATAATAAAAAGAAAACACAAGTTTATTTAAGATGGAATCTGACAGTCCCAATTTGAACTTATTCTTTGCAACGAGAAAGTAATAATGTGACAAAATATATGTTTTTGTCAAGTTTTCCTCTTTAATCTATCCCTATTCCTGTAAATTGCCAACACAACAAATGTGAGATGTTTGTCTGCTGAATACACACATTTGGAAACCCTCGGTAAATCAGATGTTGTCTTACTTGACTTCCTTCTTGGTGAACAGCCCCACTCTCTCCAGCTGCTCTAACTCGGGGACCCTATCCTCGATCCGCTGCTGAACGATCTCCGCCATCTTGTCCACGCAGCTATTACGAGTTATTCGGTGATAATAAAGCTAGTAATGTCAACTTTATAATGGAATACCCAACGACTTGCAGCAATGAGGCTGGTTTTCTCCTACACACATGTGTGGAAGTTGTGATCCGCCGATCGCTTCCGGTTCTGTCTGCAAATAGCTCCGTCTGGAAACACGATCAGTGTGAGCAGCGTTGTGACCACATGTAATTCTGGCCAGTTTCTGTATGTTACTAACAAAGTGATTAGTTTGATATTAAAGAAAATTAAATAGACAACTGCTAAATAAATTGAAATGGGGATAACATAACTATTTTTTTAAATAAATAAATTAGGCTTAGTATGTTATCCGTATTGTTTTTATAATGTTTATTTTATTAATACATAAGGTGTGTTATCTATTAATATGATACAATTAAATGTAGGCTTTTTCTCTTTACAATGCACTGAAATATTTATAATATGATCAATTAATTGACACTAATAAGTTACAGAAACTTAGAAAAAAAGGTGTGTGACTATTAATTTTTGACGTTTTTGTGTGTGTTTTTAGTATGCATTTATGCAGCTATATAGTTCAATTTAAATCAATAGTGAGATTTAATAAAAAACGAATATAATGCAATTTTCCCAATATGTCATATGATGCTGTAAATTATATACAATTCTCTATATAATAATAATTAAAAAATGTGATAATGTATTTGTTAAGCCCTTTTTCTAAAACATCCAGAACAAAGTTCTTTACCATAGGGAACATTGACATAGAATAAAAATAAAAACATTAATAATGCCATCATTTTGAAATGAGGTGGAGAATAAACACACGAATGATGGGTTGGACTCATATACTATATATAAGGGTTTACTGCAAACTTTAAAGACAAGTATCATGTGAATAATAATAAGAAAGAGACTCTGAGCTGTTGGCTGAGTTTGATGAGCTTTCTGATCAACTAGATTTCCCGCAAAATCACAGAAAGCGAGAGCGGGTTGTATGTTATCTCCGGAGGTCAGCAGCCAATCACAGTGCTGGATTCTCTCAGTCCGCGTCCTATTGGCTGACAACTGACTCCTGCTCTGTTGTTCAGTACAAATTGAAGGAACCCAAACCGAGAATAAATTACACAAAGATAATAAATAATTTGATCCATAATACTCCAACCAGCTCCGATATAAAGCGTTATTTATAACAGTTTAATGCTGGAGAACCTCAGACATACAGAGGCTTGTTTTCTAGTAAACCATGCTAGCATTGCTAGCTAACTAGCCAGCGTCTCGTCGCCTCCTCCTCATCTTCATGGGTTCCTGCTGCTGAGTCTGCCAGGCTTGTGCTGGAGGCAGCGAGGCTAACCAATTAATGCCATCGGCCAGGGTGGGTTGTCTTTATTTATGCCCGACATTTAGGGCATGCCGATGTTATGATTTTTGATAATCATAGTGTGAAAACACGGATGAATACTTCGCTGGAATACCAAGCTAACTAACATGTTAGCATTGTGCTCTTACCCAAGCTAGTTAGCTCGACTGCTAACTCGAGTATTTGCCTACCGGCTAACATGTTGTATTGCCACCATTTGTTCTGTAATGATGAGTGTGTTAACATGTGCCGTCGTCTGACTCGCAGAACTCAGGTTATATTATGAGTGGGGCGAGTTGCAAAGCTAACGGCGCTGTGTACCCCGCCTCATCAGCAATGATGAATTCTGTGAAGAAGCCGAAGATGGAGCAGATTCAGGCCGACCATGAGCTGTTCCTGCAGGCCTTTGAAAGTGAGATTTCAACACTCCTCACTTTGTAATTTCACTTTTCTGTCTTGGTAACGCGAGAATAACTTTTCAGTGTATTCAATTAGCATTTTGTTACCTATTTATCTTTGCTGCTGCATATTTTGTTTACAAAAACTGCATTTGACTGACAGGCCTCCCTACTTGGCAGCCTTAAGGGAGCTCCAGATATTGATTATTTATTTTCTAACTAAATTAATTTCATTTTAGCTGTTCTAAGGGTGGCACTTAACAGACTGGAAGAAATAAATAGTTTATTATATTGTCAGTTTAACTTTGGCTGTTTTAGCTTATATACAGGTGGTGGACCTGTTAACACCCCTTATTTTGGCATGTGTAATCAACAATATGGATGACGTATTTAGATGCTGACTCAGGATGGGATTAGCAGCTTGTTGTTGTTGTTGTTGTTGGGCAGAAGCACTCTGTCAAAATGAGAGCAGCCCGTTTTTTATGCTTATGTTACAGATTTAAGTGGATTCCTGGTTAAACGTAACCAGGAAACATAGTAACGGCAGTGCGATATTTACCAAATATCATAATACCACTTTCTTTTTTTTCCAGAACCAACTCAGATATACAGATTCCTCCGCACAAGGAATTTGATTGCAGTGAGTGAATTACTGTACATATTATTAATTACCCATCGGACTAAAAGTTAGTGACTAATTAATGCTTTTTTGTACAATTTTCAGCCCATATTTATGCACAGGACGCTCACCTTCATGTCTCATCGAAACAGCCGATCAAATGTCAGAAGGTATAAACTCTGATGATGTTTTTTCAGTTATGACATATTAATAGAGTTCCTTTGTTTAATCCGATGTATGCTCTGTCACAGTTGTAATGTATTATTTCTGAACCTTTGTTACTTGTCATCTTTCCTCTTAGAAAAACATTCAAAGTGGATGATATGTTGCAGACTGTGGAGAAGATGAAGGTAGAGCAGGATTCTCCAAGGTAACAGAGCTCTACTGTACAAGCATTGTTGTGTCCCTTCCTAATGGTGTAGTATTTTCAAGGGACTTTAATTATTAGGGAAACTGTATTGACATAATTTACGAACATATGAGAATGAACATTCATGTTAATAGTATGAGTGCTTGATTTGACCTATTTTCACTTTCGTATTTTTCTCTTCAGTTTGTCTTCACATCTACAGCTAACATTCACTGGGTTCTTCCATAAGGATGGTGAGCAGGATTTTTACCGTGTTGTGAATTTGTTCAAAGGGATAACATAAATCAAATCAAAGTTGTGTTTTTTGTTTTGTTTGGACTCTAGTTATGCTCTGACAATCATGTGTGTTTCACTTTAATATTATGTTGTTGTGTATCTAAAAGGGATATAAGGACTGACACTGAACTGAACCTTTTCTCTCCTTACAGAAAAGCCATCTCAGAATTCAGAAAATGAACAAAATTCTGTGTCTTTAGAGGTACTACTTGTCAAAGTCTGCCATAAAAAACGCAAGGTAAAGTAACATATTAACACAGTCTCTCACTTGAGCAGCCAGTCATGTTGTCTTACTTACTCGTGCTGTTTGTTAAATTAAGTTTGGTTGTTTTTTCTTTCAGGATGTCAGCTGCCCCGTAAAGCAAGTGCCTACAGGTAAAAAGCAGGTGCCTTTGAATCCTGAGAGTAACCAAACCAAGCATGGCTCCTACCCCTCCTTACTCGTCTCCAGCAATGAGTTTGAGCCCAGCAACAGCCACATGGTCAAGTCTTACTCGCTCCTGTTCAGGGTGTCACGCACAGGAAGGAGGGATACCAATGGCCTGGTCAATGGAGAGGCCAACGAGAACATTGGTAGGAAATCCACATTGAAGTCTTTTGTTATCTGTTTTGACCAAGTACAGTTTGCATTGGGATGTTGTTATGAGATCATCATAAGGAGACGATTGCTAAATTTTCACTGCATTGCACAGCACAGCTCAACTCAACTCTTTTTTTTGGTTTTCCATTAGAAAAAGTTTGTGTTCTACGCCGTCCACCATTCCCCAAGAAAAGCTGCATTTAAAAAAAAAAAAGAAAATGCAATTTTTCAATCTGTGAAATGATCACTTCTAGGTCTGTCCTGTGGTGCCATTAGGCCCAAATATATTTTTTACCATAGACATTAATTTGGAAAGATTTATCTGTAAATCAGAAGATTATTATTTTTCTGTTAGCTAGTTGTAAAATGCACAAATGGCCGACGTTGGAGGTATTTTCTACCTCCCTTTATATCAGTAAGACTGAATATCTGGTAAGTGGAGTTAAGTGGAACCCTGGTGTGCTTGCTTTAAGGCCCCATAGCTGCAGAAAATCTGGGCAATTTCATTATTAAGTAGTTGAGCCATTTTGGCTTCTCACACCATTAAGCAACAATCATTAGGAAAAATGGGGGCCCGTCTCAAACGCTGTATTGGGGTCTATTTATACGTCCGTGGCTGAGCCGATACAAGGAGTTGGAGTTAACTCAGTGCCTACCACTGATTGTTGTTTTTTAAATGGCACGCACAATAAGCCATATACACTACCGTCCTATACTCTCATGCAGCATTGCTATTGCGATCATTATATATTCCCGCTTGTGCTTTTCCAGGGGCTGGTACCTGAAGTAAATCGGGCTGAGCCATGCAGTGTAAATCAAGCATATGCTAGAGGTGCCCAGTACGTCGACCGCGGGGGCAATGCTGGTAGATCGCGAGTCATTCATAAAAAAAAAAATCCAGCTCCGTTAAAATAGACATGATCCCTCCTCCCTTGGCCTCCCTGCCACTTCATTCAGGAGTTAATAACACGAAAAATCCAGACGAGATCCAGTGTTTCCCCTAGGATGGAGTCATAGCAACGGTGCTAAGGCACGTGGGCCCAGCATAATGTGAGAGCGGAGCGCGTGGAATTTTTTAGTGCGTGCGAAGTGCGCCCCGCCAATTTTGTTTCAATGTGTCAGCACAAGAAAGGCTCTTGAGGCCTAGTACCAGGGCCGGTTCTAGACAATTTGCTGCCCTAGGTGAGATTTTAGGCGACATTTTATATATAAAGAATAAATGAAAAATCTCAACAAAAGACATGAATTGGGGGTCGGACGTCACATCCTCTAGGGGGGTCCGGGGGTATGCCCCCCCGGGAAGATTTTTTTTTGAACATTTTACAGTAAAATGCTTCGATCTTGTGAACTTTGAGCACACAATTACATGCGGAGTTAACTCAATTATACAACATGGGTTAATGATTAAGAGGTAAATGAGTATTTATTTTTTGTTAAATTTTAGCTATTCTGTTTACAGTTCTGTCATCAGATATTTATACGATTTGTTAAAAAGTTGTTGTTTCTTTTGATGTGAAGATATGATTATTAATATAATAAAAATCAATGTTTATTTTGTCACAATTTGTTAAGTAATTTAATAATTTGTATTTTTGAATCAAGTATTCATCTTTATTGTCTTCATTGTTAGTTTCCACATGCCTAAAACAACCTCAAGCTAAATCTAAAAGTTGATGGCTAAATAAGAGCGTTTGAGAAATTGTGCAAGGCATACAGTAATAGTCTGAATAGTCGATTAATCGTTTCATTAATCGATAGATTAATCGATTATCAAATTAGTCGTTTTTTTGCAGCCCTATTGTAGTCCCATATCCCATGTATAAATAAAACGTGTTATTCAGCAACCCTTGCAATTTGGGATTTTATTTTTGGTTGGTAGACCTCGGTGAGCTGGCCATTTCAAAAGTAGCTCACCAGCCAAAAAAGTGTGGGCACCCTAGATGGATAGATGTAACTCAAATAATTGCTGGTTTATTATGAAATATCTCACACTACTTTTGTATTTTGTTTTCTTGTGCAAAGAAGTTACAGATGCACCTAGTAGAAAGAAAAGAAGTTCATCCCATAGAGAAGGAGAGACCACAGAGACCTTTGTTGCACAGATGACTGTTTTTGATAATGCCAAGGCACACAGGGGATAGGAGAAAAGAAGTTCATCCCATAGAGAAGGAGAGACCACAGAGACCTTTGTTGCACAGATGACTGTTTTTGATAAGAATAGGTAAGATTTAAGTTTTAAGATCACTGTTTTGTCGTTCCTTTGATTGTACCTTTTTTTATAAAGCATTGTTTTTAATCTGCAGGAGATTGCAGCTGTTGGATGGAGAGTACGAAGTGTCGATGCAAGGGATGGAGGACAGCCCTGTCAGCAAGAAGCGCGCTACGTGGGAAACCATTCTCGATGGAAAGGTGGGGGAGGTTTGTACATAACGTGTTTAAGGGTTTCCTCCTGTAAGCCTTCCTTTCTTGTCTTTGTTTTCCTCTTCACATCAACACATTGCTGACCATTACTCTTTATTACTGTCCTGCAGAAACGGCCACCATTTGAGACCTTTTCTCAGGGACCCACATTGCAGTTCATGTTGCGTTGGACAGGCGATGCTAGCGGAAAGTCCACTGCCCCAGTAGCAAAACCCCTTGCTACACGCAACTCCGACAGCTCCAGCCCCATGGAGACCAGAACCAGCAATCACCGAGCTGCCCTCATGAGTAAGTACATCAACAATGCAGGGTAGCTTGAACCTTATAAGATGAGGCTGAATTAGAATAATAGGAGGATATAAATATCATTGTCTGGAAATCACTTGAATTGCATTAAATATTATGTTTCTATTTAGAACAAGGGGCAAAACACATCTGTCTATATATGATGAATGATGGGAAGAATAGTACATAGTGAACATGTCTGCCTTATTCCAAATGCTTCTAGATAATACCAAGCAAAGGCCTCAATAAAATCTATTTATTTCAGTCAAGATTCTCTGAAAAAAGCCAAATGGATCATGGTTTTAGATTTTTCCGCCCAATGTGGGATGGTTTATTTCTAACTGAATCTGGCAGTAGGCTGCCAGCAAGTCATTGCTGTTGAGTCTGTGCAATATTTACTTGACTATGTAACTGCTGGCAAATTAAAAAGGCTCTAAGTCAGTAGAAGTCATGCACGAAGTCTGTGTATATTAGTATCAAACAAATTGTGTGCCTACTGTTTACGAGCTATGGGAATTCATTGATGCATTGGTAAACAACTAGTTTGAAAAATACAGCAGAATTCTATGTTATACTGTTTCTAATTATAAACTAAGAGGATATGTATATTAGGGTCTCAAAGATTTGAAATGGCGTCAAGGATCTCTTTAGCACTGGTCATTAATGAAGCCACAGAGAAACATTAATTCAACAGCAGAGGAATTTGTTTCTAATATCCCTCACTGTTGCATCCCATGAGAAACATTAAAAAAGAAAAGTTTCCCCTCTAATTAAACTGAACTTAACAACGGTTGTGGAATGAAAGCAAAAAGCAGCCAAATATTGCATGGTCAATGGTCATGTTATCTGTTCGACGTGTAATAAACCAGTTAAATCACCTATTGTTTAAAAAGCAATAACGTTAACATGAAGATGAAACCTGCTATGTTGTGTATTAAGTGTTTGGGAAATGTGTGCTTGTTTGTCTCAGTTTAAATGTGTGAAATCAAAGTGATGATTTGGCGATTGTCCAAAGAAGTAACCTGTTCATCTGTTCCCGTCAGCAGTGAAAGAGTCAGTGTGCACAGACATTCAGACGAGGAAAGAGCAGGTCCTGTGTGAGCCGCGGCAGAAGCTACGTATATTTTATCAGGTACACCACAACACAGTAAGAAACACAACTGGGCCTGGGACACTGATTAACAAGAGTCTTTTGGTGAGGTTGCTCAAAATGTACGTATAATGTCACATGTTTGGAATTACTGTCACATTTTGAGAGTTGAACTGGTTTATAAATGTACATCAAGACTAGTACAATGTTCATAAATGTAGCCAAAAAACACGTTTCACTGTTCAGACCCTGTGTGTCACTCAGTCTATGGTCTGTGTAGCAAAATGTGACAGTAACGCTGATGTTATGCTAGAATAGAATAGAATCATCCATTTACATCTGATGGAACCTGAGCCTCTTGTTCACCTTGTAACTAATGCAATATATCCATGTTTAGTTCTTGTACAACAATAACACAAGGCAGCAAACTGAAGCGAGAGATGACCTTCACTGTCCCTGGTGTACCCTGAACTGCAGCAAACTCTACAGCCTGCTCAAACACCTCAAAATGTCCCACTCGCGCTTCATCTTCAACTACGTGGTAAGAAACCCAATGTGTTTGTTTGTAGGTGTGTGTGTGTGGTTGTTGCTCATCTTAACAAGACGCCACCTGATTTGTAGCTACGTTTAAGTTAGGCCTGTCACGATTGTGGATGGAATTCTAATCCTCTTGAGGGAAACTGATAAATGATTCTTTGATAACGTTTGTCTTTTGTTGTGTTTAATAAAGAAAGTCAAAACACAAGTGAAATCGATCTCAAATGCAGGGACAGAACAACTTAATCTTCAAAGGATAAAGAGGTTCTGTACCCAGAATACAGTAACAGTCACACTATATATTCATGAAAGGAAGCAGCCAACTAGTCCCACCCATAAACTACCTTAGGCTTTTCTAAACACCCCCACCATTACACCATAAAACCCCCAGTCCTTTAACCATTTGCAAAAATCTCTTTTACCCCCCGTGGAATGTCAGTCCTTAACATATGTCTGTTACACAAGTACAAGACAAACAAATACAATTTAACAGAGTACATAATATATGCTTATATGTGATGATATGATCATTTGACACAACAACGATAACTACTTTGGTCTGACTATATATTGTCCCAGCAGTAATTGCAGGTCGTTACACATATATAGCCACAATAAGAAAAATGTGCTAGACCAATAAAGTTAAAAAATATATAACATTATTAGCCATGTAGGTTACTATTGATGTGTCTACTGAGTAACTTGGGCCACATTGTAAAGGCTCCTCAAATCTGCATCTTTACTAGGTTTTTGTTTCAATAAATAACTCCTATTGGCCTGCCAGGTAGTGAGACTACCCTCACATAATTCATTTTTGAATACAGACATGGGAGACTGCCCTGTATCCTCTCTCTGTAATCTGCCTTGCAGCTTAATTCTGAGCTATTTACAGTTTAAACAGATCTGTTGTCTGCACCTGACTGCAGGGCAGTATCACGGTCAGATAAACAAGGGGTTTAGGAAAACTATTATACCTACTTTTTTATAATGGCAGCTCAACGCTCCTTTTTCTTACCCTCTCTACTCTCTTACAAAGCTGTCTTCCCTAGGGAACCCTTGTTTCTCTGTCTGAACAGCACTTTAATCCAAAGCACAGTGTGGCTTTCCCTTAAGTGAGAAATCACGTGTATAACAATGATAACCTGCCCCTAATTTTAAAGCAAATTTCTTTAAGAGTTTCACTGATGTTCCTTTTTCTTTTTGTACTTGTTTTTTTTTCTGCAGCCTCACCCCAAAGGAGCGCGGATAGACGTGTCCATCAATGAGAGCTATGACGGCTCATACGTTGGCAACCCTCAGGACATCCACAGCCAGCCCGGCTTCGCTTTCAGCCGCAACGGCCCCGTTAAGAGGACGGCTGTAACTCACATACTGGTTTGCAGGTAAACTTGTGACCTCCGTTCAGAAGCAGTGTTTAAATTGAACTCAAATTGGACAATGCAATTAACTTATCAGTTAAATCTGATTTTCACAGTCTGGTTGAGTTAGTAATTCATTAAATTAACATCAAGGAGCTTTCATCAGCAGGGAGCCCGCTCAAAACAGACTAACGGCCCGTCCACACACAGGCATGAAAAAAATCTTTCAAAGCTTCGCCCATTCACTTGAATGGGGTGACGTAGAAGATTTTTAATCTTCGCCGAACTGCATTGTGGGGAGCGCATGGCTTTGCAAGCATCGTGAGCATCAAAAGTTGAGCAATGTTCAACTTTTGATGCTTTCGAAGCTGGCATCAGCCAATCAAATCCCGTTTATGCAAATCCCGCCAGTACAAGCGCTAGCCAATCAAACCGCGTGTATGCAGATACCGCAGGTCTTTTCCATATGTCATAAAATGGAGGATAAATTAATCATCGCTGTAGGAAATGTCCCGGTCCTTTACGACTGCTCTCTGTTCACCTACCGGGAGCTAAACCGGAGGAACCAGGCATGGAGGGAGGTGGCAGAGACAGTTGGTGAAACTGGTAGGTTTTCCCCCGGTTTGCGGAGTTTATATCCAGTTTACTTCGTTTTAACATTGAATGGACGGCTTTGTATGCCGGGGGCGGGAGATTCCTGGGAGATTCCTGATTGGTTGTTGGTCGCCTTAGGCGCGTGAAATCGCCAAGCTTCAGACACGCCCAGCATCAAGATTTTTCAAGATGTTTTTCATGCCTGTGTGTGGACGGGCCGTAAGACAAAGAGATTGTGGCAGTATTCCGTATCAGCATATGTAATATCTAATAAAGGAGAGAGTATTACAAAAATATGCTTTCTCTCTCCTGTCCACTAGGCCCAAAAGGATCAAAGCGAGTCTGTCAGAGTTCCTTGAGACTGAGGACGGAGAGTTGGAGCAGCAGAGGACTTATGTCAGCGGACACAACCGCCTGTACTTCCACAGTGATAGCTGCATGCCCCTGCGGCCCCAGGAGATGGATGAGGACAGCGAGGACGAGAGGGATCCAGACTGGCTCCGAGAGAAGACTGCCACGGTGAGGAGCCATTACTCATCTGCTGTTTGGTTTCTGGCCTCACTGTTGAACTGGGTGTACACACACACTTTAAGCTCAATTTCCCACAAAGAAAAACAAACTTATGATCTCACCTTGGCTGAGTCTTTACACCTGTGTATAATTACCCAGTTGTTCTTGATTAGGGGTAGGGATGGGTGGTGTTACCGTTTTATCCCCGTGTCACGTTCTGCCACGTTTAGGTTTATTGTCATTTGATTTAGATTGACAACAACATTAATTTTTTGTAACAATTTCATAAAAAAGGTTTGTCTGAGTGTTTTGGAGGTTCATACTGAGTGAATATAGATTTTGGTTTCGGATTACCATGGCAACAAAGAGTCAAAGCATTTGGCTCAGTCCTTCTTCCCATAAATAACTTAAAGATGCTCAGAGCAACAACTATTGAACAACACAGAACACATCTTCAGCTTGCTCTAACACCCGTACACAATTATATATTTTAGTATTGATTCCCTGATTCTGCTAATATTGCTTTTTAAAGTTGTTCCATTGCTCTCATGGCCAATTGTCATTAGAATGTGTTTATGTGAGTATTTGTCGAGATAACAGCGAAGGTTTTAACAAACAATAAATTACACTGCGAATAACCATGGTGCATGGTAGTTAGTCATCAGTGTTTTTGCATCACCCTAATCTCACATCTTTTCTTACCTGCAGCAACTGGATGAGTTCACAGATGTCAATGAAGGAGAGAAAGAAGTGATGAAGTTGTGGAATCTGCACGTCATGAAGTATGGGTACGTGGGAGACATTACTGCATCTTCATGAAGTATTCCTTAAAGGTCACCTATTATGCTAAATCCACTTTTTCACGTCTTTTATACATCAACATGTGTCCCCTCTGTGTAAAGAGATTCTGAAAGTTTCAGGAAAAAATATTGGCTCACTTTTTGTCCTGATCCATTTATATAAAAACCTATCTGAAAATGAGCTGATCAGATTTTGGCCACTTTATGTCACAATGTTTTTTGGCTTGTGTAACCATTAGCCAATCACCAACCAAGGTAACACCCGCCCACCATATCAACTGAATCTCCTCCGAGAGCCATGTTTTGTATATAACTGAGAACTATAATATATTGATGAAAAACAGTATAATAGGGGACCTTTAAGCTTTAAGCAATATAATCGTTGGTTAATGTGTATAATTATGAATGTTAATCTTGACAGATAACTTTTTGTTTAGTCACATATACAGTAGGACTAATCTTTGCAGCTCTACTCTTGTTTAGAGTTCCTCTTTTCTCCAGTTTCATAGCAGATAACCAGATGAATCAGGCTATCCTACATTTCGCGGAAAACAATGGAGCTCACATAATCCGCCGCAAACTCTGCCGCAACTTCCTCCTGCATCTAGTCAGCATGCATGACTTCAACCTGGTGAGCACAGCCACCATCGACCATGCCATGGCCCGCCTGAAACAGATCCAGGAGGAGCTTCCAGACACAGAGGAGGAGGAGGCGCAGCCGGGCCAGAGTCTGGTACCAGCAGCAGCCTGCAACGGCACCGTCACCCCCTCCACCGCAGGGAAACTGGGCAAGAGGACAAAAAGCACACTTACAGACTGATGAAGGATGGATGGATCAACGATTCTCGTATTGTTTTTTGTTTTTTTCGTTTCATCCTGAATGAACATTTCCAACTCTATGGTGCTTAGATAGGTGGCAGAAGTGGTCAGCAGAGGATCTGACCACAAGCAGACCAGTACACAAGGTAAACAAGTTTTGGGAACTTGTGAACTGAACCAAATATGAACAATTTAAAAAAAAAAAGAAGAAAAAAAAAGTGAATCACCCACATCTACACAAACCAAGATGATGAGGAATGTGAGTTGAACCTACTTAATGTGTAGGAGCCATTGAACTATCTGCCTTTGGGTGAGAGAGTGAACAAACGGTCTGATGTGGCGCGACTGCCTATGGTATGTGATCGACAACTGTATCATGACTACAGTTAAAAAATGTACTGGTAACATTGTCACTCTTAATTATTTGTACACATACACAATAACCTTGTTGAGAACTTATCATTTTAGCTGATTATTTTAGCACTTGGTGTTTGTATTTAGAGAGTTTACCTTGACATTGTTTCCTCTTTTTTTATTCCTGCTGCACCAAATGTTAAATGCAGCTTTCCCAGTGTCATCAGTGGAGACACTTTCGGGCTCCAATTTCACTGTTGTGAATGAGACTTCCTTTTAAGGGTCTGACAGTTACAGTCCAAGTCCACAGTATTGGCACCAAGTTATAGATTATATAAAGCCTGTAGAGCTTGTTAGGAACCCAATGGTTGCAATGACAATAGTACTGTACTGTACTGTAAGCATTGGGATCTGGAACCACATTCAATTATGGTTTGGGTCCATGCGAAAACTCCTACTTCATCACCCCTAAGCCTTTCGGCCTGCATTGATAACAGCTAAAGGAAAGCCAGGGAAATCACTGTTTCTGAATATTTTATTTACGTAAAACAACCAGCAGCACATCATCCCATTTATCATGCATAGCTTTCAAGATAAAAGTGATCAACTTTTTCTGATTGCCTGTAGTTTGTTTTCACTTTGAGGTTTCAACATGTTTCATTTTCTTTCAACATGAATGTCGGAAGCTATTGATAGAAACGTAATCTCATCAAATGTTTAACTCTGTCCCGGTATGAATCGAATAATTAACAGATATCAGTTTTTCTTTCAACGCGATATGCTCTTTATTGGATGTATGGTTTTCAGATCCAAATCAGTTTTATGTCCCGTTGGGTGCAATTTATGCCAAAGGGGAATATTTCATCAGTCTTTTAGTTCTGCATATTATTTAGCATATTTTCTCTTGTTCATTCCACAACATAAAAAGCAGCTGCAGTTGTGTTTTCTTGTGTGCACCTAAATTGGTGCACATCAACACTCATTCGTTCAACAGACATCTCTTTTCTGGCTGTATGGGACATCTAAATTGACAATACTCCTCATTTCATGGAAGGTTTCTGTTTTCATCTGAAATATTCACCATTTTATGTAAAAAAAAAAAATGTACACTCTGGTTAGGGGGACTTTTATATTTAAAGAAATAAAATACATTTGACCTTATTCATGGCTGTCATGTTTGAGTGATTTATGGACACTAGTCATTATTACATTCTATCATGGACTGGCAATTCCAGTTGAATAATAACTCAATTTGAATCTGCGTGGACCTTGGAAAATAAAGGACATACTGTATATGTTATAATATAAAGAATTACATGTGTTATTAATTGCATAGCTGTCTTTAGAGAGAAATTACCAGCTGCATATTATGTTAGGTCTTTTAGGTGATATAATTCAGACCTGCAAAACAGTTGGCTTTTCTTAACTTGAAAGTCACTTTTTTCTTGAACTTTTGACCACATTGTCAGACCACATAGCTGAATGTAGTTTGGTCAATCATTTTTAGTCAATAAGCTTTAAAGATCAGACCCCTTTTTAAAATGAATGTTCAAACAAGGCAACATTGGATATGTATAACAAGTCAACTTTGCATCTCCAGTGAATATCAAAGGAAAAAGGTTACCCATCATTCTGACCTTGCAAATTTCCCAGATACATTAGGTGTATCCAGAGAAAGCTTATTTTCTAAAGGGAAGAAATATTCCATATTGCAAGTTGTTATGCTGTGCCTGCAGTTTCCAAAAAGTGTCAATAAATATTTCCCCTGACCTCTTGACACTCCAAAGCCATACTTTTAATCAAGCTACTGTGAAGGAAAGGGAGTGTGCTCCATTGTCCACCGTCTGGCTGTAATGAACATTTTTAGGTGGCTCTCACACGTTCATGTGCTTTAAATTGCGTTCAAGGCAGAGACTAGGTTCATATAAGAGAGTAACATGTTCTTTTGGCCAAAGCTGCCACTGTCCCACCTAGTTAGACTTTCTTTATTTGTCTCGTGATTTTTTTAATAATAAATAACAAATAAGCAGTGAGTTTATTTTTCAAGGGACTCACTCTTCAAATATAGAGCCTTTTAGACATTGTGGCAAGCTATTTTATTTTATTAATAATTTGTATAGCACCCTCCATCCAAGAAATGCAGCACGAAGCGCTTTACAAAAACGAAAGATTAATAAAAACACATCAATAATAAGTTATCTTCAACTTTTTTATATCTCTGTAAAGGCAAAAATACACGATCTACACAGAAGTACAATATCTGGTGACAACAGCGGGAAAGAGCTACCACTCTGCAATGAATTCCGAGGAAGAGTATTTGAGATGGGATTTTCGACGAACATCTGTATCTTACACCAATTTCACCAAGTATTGTTTATGTATTTAAGTCCGCAGTTTGTAACAACATTTAGGCGTATGTGATGCGAAACTCAAACTATGTCCCTATGTATGCATCATGAGTTTGGTAGCCTCGCTAAACTAAACGAGAGCCTCCTCATTGTTTGTATGAACACGATCTTTGGTTATATCATACCGTCTCGCGCACGTTTTAAACGTCACTTCAGGGTAGTTGGGATGTTTCTGGATTCAAATCAGAAGTTTGTTTTATTTTTGGCTTTTTCAATTCCCTGCTACAATGAATTAAGGTACTGTGGAGCAGATGAATGGGAGTCGGAGGAGTGAACTATTTAGTTCGCTCGCTTGGTTAGTGTAGCAATTTGTCGTTAGCATAATGCCAAGAGTCTTTGAATTAGGAGTACGATGCGAAACAAACTCAAGCGGAGCAACAAATGTAAAGATGCTCCGTGTCCGAGTAGAGAGCAGCCGAGAACAGCCGAGGTGATAAGGTTGGTGTTGTCAGACTCGAGTTGTTCCTATGATGAAACATCACCAGAGAGAGATTCAGCCTCGCTGGCTGCAGGAGACACACATGTTGCTCCTGCAGGCATCTCCACCACACAAGTTAAACCACTTCAGGAGCAGGGGAAGACTTTTTGCCCAAAATACGTTAAAATTGCACCAATTTTCTTACGTACAACTAAGCAAAGCCAGAGTAAACGGAGCCGGGAAGTGAAACTGGATCAGCCTGAAGACAAGGTGCAGCAATTAGTGCTCCCTGATGTGCAGCTGGGGAAAAGTCAGCAGCATGCATCACCTACAGAGAGAAAGAGATCCTGGAGAGCACAGCTGTCAGCCTCAGCTCTGCACATCTGCATGGAGGAAATCCAAACCTCCAACCCAGCGTTATCAGTGCAATCAGTGTTCAATACTTTGCAGAAGAAAGCGAGTGAGAAGCTGCCGAATGTGGGATCCACAGGTTAGATTGAGTCACAGTCTTTTATGTTGAGTGTGCTTTCAATTGATGATTTAGTTTAGTTTATGCATTCAAAAAGTAAGTTAAAGCTTGATTTTCTTCAACTGAACTTCTGCTCTTCTTTCCGAAGCAGAAAGTTCTCGTCAAATCCACTTAACTGAGAAGAGAAAACGGGTAAATCAAAACTCTGAGAGGGTGTTCAAACGTCTGAGGTCTAATGTCACAGAAGAGGATACCGTTGGTATGGGTCACTGTCCCGTGTCAACACATTTTATCCAGGAATATCCTGTCCCATTGGTCCAACAGCAGCGCAGAAGCAACAAGCTCAGTCGTACTCACAGGCTGAGGCAGCAATGTGGGGGCCCAGCAGGCCTGGTGAACCACTGTGAGCCCCTTCCTCTACTGATAAATCAATCAGAGTCTTGCATCCAGCCAATCAAAACCTCTGACATCCTTCAAAAAGGTAAACCTGTCAAACTATGATTGGTTTATGACATGTTTCATGCCCTCTAATAGCACACACACATAACATTTCCTCCCTTTCGTTTGTCTAGATTCCAGTTTTGAGGATGTTCTCTGGACAGACAAATACAGTCCTCAGCATATAAGTGAAGTCATTGGGAACTCCGCCTCTGTGAATAAACTACAAAGGTTGGTTTTATACAATACGCCCCCTCAGACTTTACTGATATTGTAGTAGAAAAACACGTGAGGGCATAATCTTTTCATTTGTTGTGTGTTTTTATTGAATTCAGTTGGTTAAAGAAATGGAAACTAAGAGCTGACTGTGATGAGAGGAGAAAAATGGAGGAGAAGAAGCAAGAAGATAATAGCAATGGTATGAGCTGGTATTTATCACATTTGCTCTTGTATCTCAGGGTTAAACTTTTAACATGGTCAATTTGGCATATTCAAATGTTTAGTATAGCAACAAATTGGTGACAAGCTTGCTTATAATGTGCACGTGACTTTTAATGACTCAGGATATTATAGAACTTTCCATGTGTGGGGTTATTTGGTTGGAAAATTCATGCCTGTCCTCCTGTGCAGACTCATGGGACTGTGGAGACTTCCAGGGTGAGGGGGGGGCCGAGGGCGACCGAGAGGAGCCGCTCTGCAACACCATGCTGATCACCGGACCTCCAGGGGTGGGAAAGACCGCCTCGGTGTACGCCTGCGCCCAGGAGCTTGGCTTCAAGGTTGGGTTCAAACTGGGTCAATATCTTTGTATCTCTTCTGCCAAATGATGATCATCTACAATATCCATATACATATCTTAAATATAATCATGCATGCCAAAAAATGTGCTATTCATTTCCACCAATAATTGATGCCTGGTAGGGTTGAAAATCTCCGTTTCTGCTCACCTCTTTGAACAACTGTGTTAACAAAAATGTCATCCAAAAAATACAGTAAGAGAAGACTTAGAAGAATACAAAAATATTTAAAAGGATAATATGAACAGTTTGTTAATGACTAAATAAACTGTTTCATAATCAGTGAGATCTGAGGTTATTCCACTGACTGTTCACCAATTTAAAGCAAGTTGACCAATTCAACTGGCTATGTAACCTAACTAAGAGGAATTCGACTTTATTTCATCTTTCATTTCCAAACAAAGGTGTTTGAGGTGAACTGCTCCTCCCAGCGCAGTGGCCGCCATGTTCTGTCCCAGCTGAAGGAAGCTACCCAGTCCCATCTAGTGGAGATGCCAGGGAAGGGCCCACCGAAACCAACCTACTTCAACAACTACAGCATCAACAGCTGCCCTCCTAGACCTGACACTTTACCTGGTGAGAATACACAGTGCGTTCTGAAGTCCAGATAAACATAATAATCAAGAAAGTTTTTTTGTAAGAAAGTGATGGTGCTGGATTTAAGGGTCACCTATTGTGTCTTTTATACGTTATTATGTGTCCCCTCTGTGTAAAGAGATTCTGAACGTGTCAGGAAAAAAGATTTGCTCTCTTTTTGTCTTGATCCATCTGAAAATGAGCTGATCAGATTTAGGCCACTTTATGATGTCATAACGTTTTGGCTTGTGTAACCATTAGCCAATAACCAACCATTAGCCAATAACCC